ATGTACTATAAATGTCAAACAGGCCATTTAAAAATTTTAAATCAAAAATTTGCATTCTAAATTACTGAAGTATTTAATATGTTACCATTAAAAAAAATTAGCTTTCAAATATTGCTCATTGATTCTATTGTTGTTCTCATTTTTATAAATAGTACAGTACTATTGAATTTTGCAACTATATTATTTAATCATTCAAAATTATTAACTTCCTTAAAATATGATGATGGTAGTCTTATATATTTTCAATATTGTTATACGTGTACTTTATTATAAAACCGATGTATATACTACTAAATAGCTGAATGACAATAATACTAAATATTATTGTCATTCAGCTATTTTGCCTTAACATAAAAATTGAATAAATAAATAAATAAATAAGTAAAAACATTGATTCAAGATACGACTAACAATTCTCTAATTTTCAATATTTTTTATAACATTAAAAATACGACTCAAATAAATTTCAAATTTAATTTTAGAAAAATTTTTTATTTGAAAAAAATCTTTTCATCAATGTTATTGAATATACAGTAAACTAATTTCTAACTATGTACACAAAAATTAGTAAACTTTATAAATAGATTTTAAACTTACAAGGCAATATCGTAATATTACTAAGCATGAATTATAAATTTGTTTTGTAGACTCGATATTAAATTTTAACAAATATTTGTATACTAAAATGTTGCTGAATTTTCATTGATATACTATTCACTTGCTAGGGAACAAAGTATAAAAAATCTAATTTTTAAAAAACACGAACAAAAAATTAACTTGATTCAAGTTAAAAAAAAGTTCTTCGTCTGAGGAATTATTCTTGATTTAAGTAAATTTTACTTGATTCAAAACAATGAAAGAGACTCTTCAAAATAATTTTTTTGGTTCAAAAATGTTTTTCTTTAATTAAGATTTTTTGTCCATGTACTTCTGTTTATTTCCGTGTGTGTACAAATTATCCATATTATTGCAATAAAATCCGTTTTAATTAATTTGAAACTCGGTTAGACAGGCGACAAGTTATTATATATATCGTTATTTTGGCCGCGCACCCCAACCATTCGCGTAACTATTTCTCTGGCCGGGATGTCGGCTATCATTTCCCTGATAATTAATTAAAGCCGTAGGATCGATGAATAATCCGCGGGGAGAGCCACTCATTATGAAACACTGTACTCCCATCGGGATAATTCGACCCTGGATCATATGCTACAGATCCAACGTCTACGTTTCGATTTATTTCGCAGCCCCACCTCCCATATTTTGTGTAACAAATTTCCAACTGGGGATGGAAATCTAAAATCTAAAATCCAACGCAAAAACACTCGATCATCGTTCTCTATTTTTTATTTTCCAACTTTTACATATTTAATGGACGTAGCTAAAATAACTCGACCAACTATCTCGTTATTTAAACGACGCTTGCAATCGAAATTGCCCGAACCACTCAATCGGCACTTACTCGATTTGAATTTTTTTGTGTAGGTATCTTGTTTTTTTGTTCCCTTGTTCAGTTTTTTTTTTTTTAGTCAGTTATGTAGCACGTTAATTTTTTCCAGCACGAACTAATAGTATATTATGATGAAATTTTATCGCAATGGACGTAACGCGTGCGGCTGTAAATTTATTGGCAAAGTATATGCGAAATGTCAGAGGGAAGGCAAAATGGAAGATGTAAGCGGAGGAACAAAGAACGAAGAAGAGGCAGAGAAATAAACTAAACTAAATAAAACAAAACGAAAGCAAATGAATGGAGAAAATAAAGAATAAGAGCATTTATTACAGTCTTCTCTTACTCGTTGTGGCAAACGTTATCGCTAGTTCGTTCCCTCGTTCGTTTATTTCTTTCAGTTATACGGCCTGCTTTTTTTTCTTACTCTTATTCTTATAACTGTAACTATTACTATTACTATTATCATTATCATCTAGTGATTATTATTATTATTAGCATGGTTATTCTTATTATTATCATCAAAGTCTTCACATTCGCGTATTCAACTCGTGTCTTACCGGGCAGGGTTTTTCTTTTGGCAGAAGAGCAGTAGGTAAATGAAGAAGAGAGCTAACAGGTCTACTGTTCTATACGACTTTACTCTCATTGGTCTTGCCCGGGTAAATTGGACTTTCTGCGATTCGTTTGTAAGATAACAATAATGGAGCACCGCGAACTCATTCTGCTGGGGTGCCCTTTTTTTTTTACTATTTCTAAAGCTCTTTTTCTTTTCACACTCATTGCTGAACTCTAGAGCATCTTGCGGAACCAGCAACGGCACACATTTCCCTTACCCGTAGTAATTCAATTTTAAAATCCTGTTAATTAGGTCACTATTGTAATGAGATCTGTGCAGAAGGTGGTGATGAATTGAGGAAAATAACTGTATTTATTAGCATAGTTGTTGAATTAAAATAACATTTTTCGCAGTTTATCTTTTTATGTTTTTTTTTTTTGTCACACTTTTTTTACTCATTAACAGTAACTGCTCTGTTAAACACTCACGTTTTGTTTGTACTTTGTATTTGTTTCATTTTTTACGCAGTTTATGTAAAAGTCTCGTGACACCTTGACTTGTGTGTTTTTTTTTATTCATTTTTATTTGTGCTACTTTGTTTAATAATTGTTATCGAAATGAAAAATTATATTCCGGAATTTATGTAAAAATTCATGAATGTATTTTTATGAATACTATTGAAAATTAATGAGTTTTTATTTTGAACTGACCGATATTTTGTGCATTGACAAAAAATTTAAATAATTATCGAGAAACTTTAAAACTAAGAAAATAATTGTGAAGAGTTCTCAATCATGACAAAAAATTTTTGAATCAATTAAAATTTACTTAGATCGAGAAAAATATTTTAGTTTAAGAATTTTTTTATTTAATTCAAAAAAATTAAATTCTTCCAAAAAATTTTTTTTCTTGAATCGAGTTTATTTTTTTTTTACATCGTATTTTGTTCATTAAATTTAAACTTTTATAAACTATTTTTATGTATGTTGTTGATTCGTGTGAATGTTGAAAATTAAAATGCTCTTAATAATTTTTTTTTAATTTTTTAATGATTATTCGATTGAATGATTTTTAACTTTAAATACATTCCAATAATTTAAGCATAAAAATAATTATTACTGGAGTATAAAGTATAAGTTATGATTTTCCTCAAATGTACATTGAGAAAGCAAACGATAAATGATACTCAACTGATATATATTTAATAATACGGGACGGTGATTTTAAAGAAGTTGAATACAGAAATAAAGTTGAATCTATCTCGGCGTATGCAAGTGAATTGATTTTTCCGTACACGTAAATACTGGGTAAAATATTTCTGAGTAAATATCTTTACTCTATATACTTTATATAAAACCGTGTAGCAAAGGAATGCTCTAATATTATGGAAGGAATTTAACTTGATGTGAAAATACATTTTTATGAAAAAAAATAAAAAAATCGTAATAACAATCAGTTAAATTCCAATGAATTTATGTAAATATTTTATTAAACTTTATTTTTGTTAAAATTCGGAACCCGAGGCAGTTCTTGTTGTCATAAAACCCGATTGAGTTTTCATGAGTTTTGTTTGATTCTTTTGAATTTAAAGCTCTGATGATCGAGAGCGAGTGAGGAAGAGGACGAACAAAAAAACAAGCAGAGAAAGAGAGTGAGAGTCGGATTTATTGGCCTTGCGAATCGAGACTTTAATATAAACCTCCATTTGTGCTATTGAATTTCTCATTATAGCACTCGGTTTATCATCGACTTTTTTCGGTTGAATTAAAATTTTTACTCTTGCTCTTGGTATGCTACACAATCTCGATCCAACTATTATGTATATCAGTGTATTTTAAATATATTATTGTAATTATAATAATTATTATAATTTTTTTTTTTATACTTAAGTGATAATAAAAAAGCCTCTCTTTTTTTTCTCATAAGATAAATTGTTGTAATCGATGAAAAGTTTCTCAAAAAATAAATAACTTTTAATTCTGAAAAGTCTCACAAGATATTGATTAAGATGTGCTTAGTTTTCATACAATAGTTTATTTCTTTAATTAATTATTTCAAGTGTAAGTTACGTTGAAGTAAAACTTTTTAACTTTTTCCATTATAAAAAATTGTAGATTTTTGTTTTAAGTTTAAAAGTTTTAAACTCCATTTTTTAAGTTTTAAACTCCATTTCTTTTCAACTTTTTTTTTATATTTTACTATTTCAAATATTAATTTGAATGATTTATTTTTTATATAAAAATATTTACTCTTTAGCAATCAATTATGATTAGAAATTTTAATTTTTGTAATTTTACAAAAGCAAAGATTTGTTAAAAGTTTACAACTCAACTAATTTTTGTAATAGAAACTGTTAAATTTTTTTAATTTCATGAGTTTGTTAAAATTGAACTTACAAATTTTAGTATTAAATTTTAAACTAGACGAAAAAAAAAATACTTTTAAAAATGAACTATAATTCTTGAAATTTTTTTTTTATTTAAAATTTTTGCTCCGTGATAACTTTTCTGTCTATCAAAAAAAAAAAAAAAATTACCTCTACTATTTTAGAATCACTATAGTATATACATGTGACTGTGTATGTGTAGAAGTGAAATTGTTAAAACAGTGGCTTAGCATAGGCGTTAATAATTGAGCATATTAAGATTGGTTTCGGTTGTAGAAGCGTAGTTCTCAGCGGAGACCAGAAGAACCAGAGGTAAGCTACCGTTGGGTGGATATACACAAGATGAAGGAGCTAAAGGAGTGGAAAGGAGCAAAGAGGAGATGGCAAAACCACGGGGACCTGACCCAACTATCCTCTCTCAAGTTATTCTAGCTCTTCAATAATGAAACCTTGTTTATACTGGACTCCACAAATATATAAGGATTACTCCCTCGCTGATAAAACTTGCCTCCACGAAACACTTGTTAACTTTATTTTAAAACCATTTTTTATTAATAACTTTCTACTAAGTTCTGCCATTAATTTCATGATTATGATAATAATAATCATGATTTTTTTTGTTCTAAATTATTAGTCATTAATTTATTTATCAGTTCTTTGCTACACTCACCCTCTTTGTTTGCGCTACTTTTAATCTCCGTAGCTGTCGGCGGTGCCGATGGTTGGACCATTTCTACAATACAAAAAATTTAGCTATTTAATTGAAAATTTAATAATAATACAAAAGTTTCATAAGTTCAAATGCGTATGCCTTAAGAGGATAGAAAAAAATAATTATTTACAGTACACTACTCTCTAAAATTAAAATAGTGAAAATCTCACTATTTGAGATAGTGACTCCTCAATCCACTATCAAATTAGTGAATCTCTCACTATTTGGGCTAGTGACTCTCGAATTCACTACTAAAATAGTGAAATGAAGTAAACTTCACTGTCAAAATGGTGATATCCCAGATATGCGCCGCTCATAGCGCCATCACATGAGTTTTTATGAATGTTATTATATTATTATTCTTGTGCTTATGATCTTTCTGCCAAGTTTTTAGCTATCGCAGCGATAATTAATTAATTGTCTATCTCAGGTACGTTTATTTGACTATTTTATTCGAATTTTGATTAATTTAAAGTAAGTGACTGTTTGCACGCTATTTATTTTTTTTATGACGATGGACTTAATTGTAATTTCCTAAGAACGAGGGTTATGTTTTTGTTGATATCAATTTTTCAATACTTTTTTGTATTAAATTCATTATTGACTATTAAAAAGCTATTAATCATTCCTGTTAGTTGATTTTTAATTATTTGTTGATAATATTTCTAACACAAATAACTTTTTTGTTTTAAATTTATAAACTGTTATCGGAACATTTGTTTTACTGAATGCAAAATTTTATAAAAATGAAGTTAGCTGATACAAAAATAAATAAAAAAAATAATTTTAATGATAAGTTTTAACTACAAACAAATTACAAGAAATTAATTTTATTTATAAATTAGTTTTAAAGTTCGTTTAAATTTTTCCGCGTATAATATTTTTTTTTTTCATATGAATTGAACGCCCTCTTCAGTTCCGATACGTGAACCATAAAAAAAGAACCGGTTAAAGACTGTATTACTGGCGGTAAGCTAAGTTCACAATTGAGTATAGTATCAGCTGTCTTCAAAACTATTATATTTACATATATAAATTTTTATATATGGCTGCTCGAAGGACAGAAAATTTCTCTGTCAGCCAAAAAAAATTAATTATAATCAAACAAAACAATATTAAGATGCAGTCTTCATTTCACAACTTATCATAAGACTGACGAAGATATTGAAAAATAAATTAAGTTGAAAAATTGATTTTTTCAAAAATTATTGATTTTATCTCTCCATTATTAAACTTTGAAAAATTTACTCTATAAGCCATTAAAACTACTTTTTCAATGAAAAAATAGAAATTTATCGATTTAAATAAAATTGGTAAGTTCAGATGATTTCTCTTTCTAACAGTGTGATTTTTGTATCATTTATAAGTACATTATTATTGTCAGATACGTTTTAATGTGACAAAACGTTGAGATCTTGAGATTTTGAGGCAACACTAAAACGTACCATCGCGCTCGTGCTTAAGGCATGCAGAATTGAATTTAGGTTTTGAATTTATTCTTTGTTAGAAATTGAAATCACCAAAGCTTCAGGTTAGTGAAATAGAAATAAAAAAAGCAATTATACCGTATAGTCTAATAGATCCTTCAGTCTCGCCAAGTGAATTTTTGCTGATACATCTGTAGTTACCAAAATCACTGAGCTGTAGATTTCGTATGGTCAGCTGCATATTAGTTCTGTAGCTACTCTCCATTATCGAGCTGGTATACTTTTCATTGCTTAGTACCATAGAGTTGTTGAAGTTCCAGTAGCTTATCGCTCGTGGATGTGCTTCAATGTTGCATTCAAGGGTTACGTTCTTTCCAGCTGGTGCTCCCATCAGCTGATTTGGCACGAATATCGTCGGTGAAACTGCAGTAAATACAAACATACATTTATACGTACAGGGATAGTACAGATAAACCCCCCAAGTTCGTACATTCAAATGATACCAACAACATTTTATAAAGTACTTTTCAACTTCCGTTAAAACTTGCTCAATTTAGCTACTTTGTCTACTTTCATTTTTTACTAATACTAATATTAAATAATATCAAGTTTTTAGTCGATATTGTTTCGATATTGCTTCTTTAGTTTTATCTATTAAACATTAAATCACCATTTTATTATAAAAATTTCGCTTTCTATTATACTTTTATTTACTTATCTTGAGTTAAGGAAGTTACAAGGACTACCTTGTAAATTAGAAAAAATTTATTGTTTTTGTTGCGTTTTCTCAACCCGTGTACTTTTAAAAATCACCCCCAATAATTTTTCAAAAAATTCAAATTCTCTAACATAGTGAAATTTTTTATAAGAATTAAAATTTTCAAACAAAAATTTTCTTTCATCAAAAATAGTGAAAAAAATTTTTTTGGCAAGTGGCACGCTGATTCCCTGGCTTCTGCTTCTTACTATTTCCTCGGCATAAATCCTGGCGCTATCTCCGAGAATTTTAAAATTGTCTTTTAAAATATTTTATTTTTCCATATGAGTGTATTTTTTTTGTGCCATTTTTCCGTGGTCGTCACAGGCCATAACTCTAAAAAAAATTTTCAAAATTTTCCTTTCTTTAAACGAAAAATTTATTTTTTTTTAATAAAAATTTTGCACGACTCATGATGCAAAGTATCAGAAAGTGCTTTACGATCGGAAAAATTTTTTCGTCTCATTACGGCAACTATTTTTAGTATCATAGCCTTGTTAGTTCAAGGAATCAAAATATGTCGCATACTATTATGAAGATAATTTAATGGAGATTAATTCCATACTTTTCAAAAATTTATTAAGGGCAATATTAACGAAAAAAAACATCAAAATAATTTTCCTGTTCGTCATGTATGAAACCCTGAAAACACTGTAACTTGCAAAAAAATACATTAATTGAGTAAAATTTTTTTTTTTTAATTCTTTGAACGAATTGTAGGTCACCGAATGCGAATGGCTAGGTAACTCAGTGTCGTTTATTTGCAATTAATAATATAAAAAAAACCAAATGACTGTACATATCTATTGTGTAAATTTATCCCACTAAGGGCACCTGATGCGCATTATTGTCCGAATTCAGCTATTTTATATATTATTTTTTTATTTTATTATTATTTTATAATTAAATGAACATTATGAGTCGTGCACTTTTGGATTTTCCAAACTTTTTTAAAATTGTAAAAAAAAAAAAATTATCAATAATTTCTCTTAAGCATTTAGAATAAGTGAAGTAAATTAAAGTGAAAATTTTATTATTTTATAAATGTGGTAAACCGATTGGCTAGGATACTAGGATACTCACGAATATATACTATACATGGAAAGGGTGAATAGAAGCAGTATTGCTTTGAGTAAACTTTCTCTCTCCTGTGTCTAACGACACAGGGGACTGTGAATCCCTAGTAATTTAAACGACAGATAAGCTGAGTCTTGCTAGATTAGATGATACGCATGTACTCTGGTGGGTATCAGTGTATACGAAGGATATACCTGTATAAATGTATGATGTATGATGTATGATGTATGATGCAAAGTCCCGCTTTGCTACTCTTTGAAATGACAAGCTGATGTTGTTATGCATAACTAACTACGGAAATTTCTCAAGCTACTACTCCTATCCTCTAATGTCAACTATTTAATTTACCGAGGGTCTGAATTTTTACGGCACAATCTTCATTTTTACTTTCACATGTAAAATGAAAAATTCTGGCAATTATTTTCTTTTACTAATATAAAAACCTAGTGATCTATATTGCTGTTAGATAAACAGTCGCTATTTTTCTGCCCCCGCAGTTTTTATTACAAATTTATATAACGGGGTATTATTTTAAATAATATTATTTTAGATGCTTTTGTATTGAAATAGTAAAAAAAGAAAAAACCAATATCGTTTTCGTAGATTCTGTTATTTTTTGTACAAGAATTAAAGTCTAAGGTTTTTGGTTGGATAATTTTTTCAAAAGTTTGAATCTTTGTTGTAAAATTAGTGAGATAGTTAGGTGGTCAGGTTAACATGTGTGTGTGGCGGGCTTTATATTAAGCGAAAAATCAAGCTGTGGGAATGGTGTAGAGTGAATTCACTGGATACGTCAGTAGTATAGTGGAGAAGTATGCGTTAATTAGGGGTCAGTATGGGAATCCGTGGATTTGCGGAAAGCGCTCGGGGTTGGAGGACATGCCATCGGTTCCGGTATACATAGAATCTGAGTGAAATAGCCACGGTGAGCATGCCTCGCATAATCCTCGAGCGCCACACCGTTAAGCTTTTACTGACGTTTTTGACTCTTAAACAATTGACGGGTGATTGTTCATCACCCTCGACTCATACTCATGCTCCTAGTCATTGTTTGAAGCATTACCGAGATCATAACAAACGCTTTTCAATTAATTATTTGTTAATAATAAATTATTTTATTTCCACTTTCATTTCTAATAATAAAAAAATTAGTTAGTTAATTCTGTTTTTCGTTAAGAATTTCATATTTTTGGTTAAAAAAAAGTTTCTTCTTTCAAAATACCAAAAAAAAACGTGAAAAAAAAAAGATTTTTTTTACAAATTCTAAATATTTTTAATGACAGTGATATTTTCATAATTCATAAGTTTTTATGCTTTTAGCGGCCTATCTATTAGAGAAATTTTATTTAAATAACTTCACAGAAAAAAATAAATTGTAAAATATGCTCTGATTCTGGTTATTTTTCACTTTTTCAAATAGTACACCAGACTCGAGGTTCGCGTTTTAACTTTTTTGATATTTACATAGTGGTTATTACTACTGTCATTTTTTGTATAATTGGAGAATAGTAGCATCCAAATAATTCATTTTATGTTTGAAATAGTATTCATTATCGATTGATTATTATTTATCATATTTTTATATTTCAATACAATATAAATTATCTTTGTTTAAAAATAAATAAAGTGTTATAAGTTATCTTGTTCAAAAATAAATAAACTCTTTATCCTGTTTGTTTTATTTTATTGATCGCGAGTGAATTTTTTGATCAAATATTGAACAAATAGTCTTTTTTCGGTGTAAAAAAATGAAATTACATGCATCTTTCTCCCAAATTTTTAAAACTTTCTCGAAATATTAATGTTTAAAATTTTTAATTTTCCCCATTATTACTCCACATAAACGCTCCGACATATCGATCTGACTTTTCCGAGCGCGTTTTCCTGTTTCCACTGATACCTATCTAAAAAAATTAGAAAAACGGTTCACCCTAAAGGCCATCCCTGCAACTTCCCGCTCATTTTGTACTTAAACGCTTCAAACTACACATTACGTTTTTGAGCTCTTCGAGCTCAAAAATATTGTTTTTGTGTCAATGTGAGCTCTACGAGCTCAAAACTCTAATAGCAGTTTAAAGACACAATTTTTTGAATTTTCAAACGGCAATAACTTTTGAATGAATGAACCGATTTTCAGGTAGTTGGCGGCAATCGACGCAGTTTTTGAAGCTCCATGAAAAATTTTCAAGTTTAAATCGATCGAGCCATGAATTTCGAAGTTATTACAAAAAAACACTTTTTTCGATTTTTTTCGACAACGATATCTCACGAACGCATCAACCGATTCTTACGTTTTTGGTGACGATCGATGGGGGTTTTCAAGGTTAAGAGCTGATTAGTTTTTGAGACCGATCGGTTCAGCCAATTCGGAGATATTTAAAAAAAAATGAAAAAAAACAACTTTTTTTTCACTTTTTTTGGATTTTCTCGAAATCTACCGGTCCGAATCGGTTCAAATTTTCAGGAAATCTAAGTTTAGTGAAGCCCTTTCGAATGGCACCAACCGCGATAAAATCGGTCAAGTCGTTCAAAAGTTACAAGAGGTTTACATACACACACACACACACACACACACACACACACACACACACACACACACACACACACACACACACACACACACACACACACACACACACACACACACACACACACACACACACACGACGAGACATCATCGCGGGGGTGGTCAGGGAAGCTTACTGAGACCTTGAAACGTCGAGATCTATTCGCTCCGAGGGCAACAGGGCTAGCGCTCGAGGTGACAATTTTAATAACTTCGTACCCAGAAAATCCCATGTTATTTCCCATAAGACGCGACATCTGCGATAAAAATCGGAACTTCACTCCCACTCACGGATATACACAGACGCGTAATACACTTACATTTGCTGTGAGTGTATTAGTTGCCCTCGGAGCGATATTCGCTGACTGATAGGGCTATATATGATTTGATATGGCTATATATGACCTCATCAGGTCAACTTTTATAGCAAGCTATAACAAAAAGTTTTTATCAAGGTACTTTTAAATTGCAGTAAGCAAATCACTTATCGATCTTCTAACATACTGTTTACTTTTTTTTTCATAAATACGCAAGTCTCAACAGCATCACAAACGTATGGCTGCTGTAAAGTAATATATTACCGCAATACTCGGTAATAATAGTCAATGCTTTTTTCCCAGTTAAAGCGAGCAACTGGCAAACCTAGGGTTGCTTAAGCGTCAATTGACGTTCCCGACGCGTCGACCACACAATTGGTATTCAGTTGGCTTGAGCACGGTTGATGAGCCCTGTCTGATGTATATTCTGACCCTCTCTACAGCTACGTGATGCTATATATAGCAATGCGAAAATTTCAAATGGTGAAAATTCATATTGCTTTCATATACAAAACTTTTTCGCGATATCTACAATTTTTTGCATGACAAAAATGACAGAACGCGTACGTATACACAATCACGATCGTCAATCGATCGCAGATTAAATAGACACTCCCATTGTCCTCCTGGTTTTCGCGAGACTGGGTAGTAAAGTGAGGAAATGTTGATGGTGATAATCGAACAATTGAACGCACCCTCTGTGTATAATCTAGTGTAACTAAATGCAGGTGT